ATGGGCGGCTGCACTTTGTAAAAGCCCAGTCTTTGTTTTTATTCCAGTGTAATTGTGCTGGTTCTGATCTGGATGCCCCAAAGGCCACACATCAAAACGGTAATTAACAGTCACTTCTTCCAGCCTCTACAGTTCTGCCAAATTATGCCCTGTTCAGGAAGGAGTAGGAGGGGCTGCATCTGCCTTCCACCAATAGCTCCACTTATGGGAATCTTGGCAAAAAAATTGCTTGTTTGATCTCTCAGAAGTTGATCTTATGGTAGCTGCTGTTGGAGTGAAATACAAACAAACAAAATTTCAAAGATAGACCTAACTACTGAGGACGGATCTCTTGGTAATAATACACAGGTAGTTCCCTTCAGGCCTAGGAGCTGCGGTGGCTCAGTGGTTAAGACGCTGAACTACAGGCTGGAAAGTTGATAGTTCAGCAGTTCGAGACCTGAGTGTCACATGATGTGAGTGAGCTCCCATCTCTGGTTCCAGCTCCTGCCAACCTAGCAGTTCGAAAGCAAGAAATTGCAAGTAGATAAATAGGTAACACTTCGGTGGGAAGGTAACAGTGTTCCGTGTGCCTTGGCAACCATGGAAACGTCTTCAGACAGCGCTGGCTCTTCGGCTTAGAAACGGAGATGAGCACCACAACTCTAGAGTCGGATTCAACTGGCTTACGAGCAAGGAAATCAGACACAACGTGACTCCTTCGTTCACATTTTAAGACTTTACTGAACTCAATTAGACCAGTTCAGCTTCTTCTTTCAGCTGTGCTTGAGAGAAAGGCAAGATATAGAAGACTGAGGGAAGAACAGTGAAGAATACACAGGGGTGGGGAGAAGAGACACCAGGGCTGTAGCTAGTGTGGGGTACATGGGGTAATGCCCCCTCCCAAATTTTCAATGCTTCAGTCTGAGAGCCTGCCCTGCGCTCTCCACCTGGCTGTGGCCACTCTGCTCCTTCACCCATTCATTGTGGCTGCTGTGCGGCGATGGGGAGGTCCAGAGAGGCCTCCTGTGTGGTCTCCCGGATTCTAGTCAGATCTGATAGGGTATGAGCTTTTGTGAGTCACTGCTCAGTTCCTCACATACAGCTAGAATGTGAGTCCATCTGTCCTATATATTGGAAAGTGGAGTGATTTCAGATGCCAAATGACATTAGTAGGCAGATGACCGTAGAAGGCGTGATTGGATTAGGTGTGATATGCAGAGAGGTAGTGTTTGTTGTTGTTCAGTCACACAGTTGAGTCTGACTTTCGTGACCCCATGGAACACATCACGCCAGGCCCTCCTGTCTTCCGCCGTCCTCCAGAGTTTGCTCAATTTCATGTTCTTTGAATAGTAGGCATGGAGAAATCAGGAAACCTAGGTCTTGACTCAGTCCAGGTGGATGCCTTGTTTTGAGCTTTCTTATCAGTTCCCATTCAGCAGTCGCTCTAATCTCCCTTTGAAATTCCTTTGTAAGATAACTGCTACTTTTAGGTCAGCAACTGAATGTCCTGGAAGATTAAAATGTCCCCCCACTGGTTTTTGAATGTTGTGTTTTTCACTCTCTGCACTGGACAAACAGGTCAGTGCCTTCAACAAATAATTAATGGAAATATGTTCAATTAATGGACATATGTCCTAGTCCCTTCAACAAAGAATTAATTGACATCAGAAACCACAACATTCAAAAACCAGTGGAGGGGACATTGGAAGATGTTCTAATTCAGCAACTGTGCATTTGACACCAGACACATTACTTTCACCTTTTGTCATTTGTCTTTAGATCTTGCTGCTTAACCTTCCTCTTCCTGGTCCAATATTCACTTATTGGTTATCTTATTGCAATATATATTTAAGTTATGTGTACCTCAATATTGTTTGACCTCTGAAAGAGTCCCCAATAGGGCAGAAACGCATCAGGTCATGTCTATTGGCCCTTGTGTTTAGGCTGTACTTTTTACGAGGCTTTCATTGGGCCCTTATGTATGTTTTTAACTGTCTTTCTAATGAATACTTGTATTTTGGTATATTATAAGTTTTAACTAGGTTTTTAATATTGGTCCTTCATTAGACTTTCTTCTTACCCTTTTGGTTCTTGATTCCAGTTTTTGGGTCAGGTTTGTTTTCCCCTCCCTGTGTCTTACTGACATTTTAACCTTCCAGGACATTCAGTTGCTGACCTAAAAGTAGTAGTTATTTTACAAAGGAATTTCAAAAGGAGATTAGAGAGACTGTTGAATTGCAACTGATAACAAAACTCAAGACAATGCATCCACCTGGATTGAATCAAGACCTAGGTTTCCTATCTCATTACTAATGCTGATTTCTCCAGCCTACTTCCTCTCTGCATATCACATAAGAACATAAGAGATGCCAATGTTGGATCAGGCCAAAGGCCCATCCAGTCCAACACTCTGTATCACACAGTGGCCAGAAATACCAGTGCCATCAGGAGGTCCACCAGTGGGGCCAGGACATTAGAAGCCATCCCACTGTTGACGCCCCCAAGCACCAAGATGACAGAGCATCACACCTAATTCAATCACACCTTCTATTGTCATTTGCCTTTCAATGTCATTTGGCACCCAAAATCACTCCACTTTCCCACATATAGGACAGATGGACTCCCATTCTGAAGAAGTGAACAGTGACTCACGGAAGTTCATACCCTACCACAAATTTTGTTAGTCTTTAAGGTGCTACTGGACTCTTACTCTCTTCTACTGAGACAGTTGTGTACACATTCTGATTAGATAGTGGGGGGTGGAGCTGTGTGTATATTGGATCAGACAGACCTTTACTTCTGGCCATTGAACTTTCTTTTAATTTTAGTTTTGAAGACATTCTCAGAACAGGAGGACCTGACCTCTAAGGAATGGCTGTTGTTACTTCAGCAATGTGACTCTGCTTTACTGTTTCTCACTCTCTGTGACAGAATTCAAGTCCAGTAGCACCTTAAAGACCAACAAAATTTTTCAAGGTATAAACTTTTGTGAGTTGAATTTTTAACTCCAGAAAGCTTACACCCTGGAAATTTTTATTTGTCTTTATTTTGTTCTATTACAAACTAACCTAGCTACCCACCTGATACTACCTCTTTGTGTGAGCATATCTAAAAGATCCTAGAATGATCCTTTTTAGTTACTTAATCTTAACCATTTCTCTCTCTCATGCATTATTTGTTTGATGTAAGAATTGGGTACTTTTAGGTTGTAATGAGTCTTGTGGGGTACTTTGGTCAGCTGCTTATTAGCAGCACTGCTACCTCTCATAGTGCTATGAACCAGTACATGCCTGTGCTGTATGCTCAGAAATGGTTTAGTGCTCAAAATAGCCTTGTCTGGGTTCTTGCTTTTGTATATTCCCTGCAGGTTTGTTTTCTGGCTCAGTGACTTCTAATGAAAGTGGGTGGTTAAGAGGAATGAACACAAGTGAGACAATGAACTACTTCGGGATTTGAATGTCTCTTAGCTGAATAATGGTTTCACAATCTAAAGCAATAAAAGATGGTTTTGTCCTCTGTCTGAACTGTGATCAGCAACCTGGCCCTGTGAGCCCTGTGTGGTGGACAGGGGCCTCTTGCAGCCTGGTTGAGAGTAAATGCGACTGGGCTGGGAGTGGTGTGCTGGCAGGAGGGTGAGGCCAGGATGGCCAGCTGAGGGATTTAAAAACCAGCTAGGGGGGAGGGGGAGGCCTAGAAGGAAGAGGAGGAGCAGAAGGAAGTGGTGGTGGGAGAGGGAGTGATGGCACAGGGAACAGAGGCTATGGGGAGAAGGCTTGGCAGGGGAAAGAAGGAGGTGGGGATGCTCAAGAGGAAGGGAGCTGCAGCCCCAGAGGTATCTACCGCAGTTGTCACCACCGTTATTTGATATTAAAGAAGCCCTTTGGAGGAAAAAAAGTAACTTGAGATTTTATCTGGACATGCTTGGTTTGAAAAACCTGACTTACTTGGCAACCTACTTGTTATCTGCTACATTTGCAAAATGGCCAGGACTGGTTTTAATAACCACCCAGGTGAGAGGGAACAGCTGAGAATGGTCAGTTCCTGCTTTGCTTTTTTTAAACTACACCACATTCTTAGGTAAAGGTTCCCTTGCTCGAAAGCCAGTCGAATCCGACTCTAGGGTTGCGGTGCTCATCTCCGTTTCAAAGCCAGCGCTGTCCGAAGACATTTCCGTGGTCATGTGGCCGGCATGACTAAACACCAAGGCGCATGGAACGCTGTTACCTTCCCACTGAAGTGGGACCTATTTATCTACTTGCAATTTCTTGCTTTCGAACTGCTAGGTTGGCAGGAGCTGGAATTAGAGATGGGAGCTCACTCCATCATGTGGCACCTGGGTCTCGAACTGCTGAACTACCGACCTTCCACAGCCTGCAGTTCAGCGTCTTAACCACTTGAGCCACCGCAGCTCCTTCCACCACATTCTTACTATAGCCAATATGAATGTTTGTGGTTTTAAATGACTTGTTTTCCCCACAGAAACATTTTCCCTACTGTTGCTGCTTCCCTTATTAGTTGTGGGGAAACTGCCATTTAAGTACACATGCGCTACTCTTAATTTTGTATCTTGAGTTCAAAATGTTGTCTGAATGTAGTCTACATTCTTGAACATTCACTGTCAGTCTATTTTTCAGTAAAATGTGTAAAGTGTTGCACCCAGTAAAACTTCCATAAAATCAGCATATGCCAAATACAAAACAGTTCCACTCTTGCCCTTAAAATGTCCATGGTCACTCCACCTAGAGTTCAACCAAAACTTCTGTCTCAGTTTCGGGCCTGCTCAGTTTAAAATTTCTGCTGCACTTAAAAGTTTTCTTCCTTTGTTATTACAACAAAACATTATTTCTTCAAAGTTTTCTGATATGTAAATTGCCAGCATTGTTTAATTTAATCTTTCCCACGCATGCATTCACACTTGTCTCATGCTAGTAATAGATTTGCACTTTACATAACAAACAGAGTATATGGAAATAGTTTCTTTAGTCTTGAATTCTTCTGAGTCCAAATAGATAGCCTTTTAAAGAAATTAAATTTGCATTTGTGAAATATGGTAATATGACAGCTATAGAGTGCTAAAGTTGCTGACACCATAAAAATTCTCACAGGCGAAACAACTGTTTGCCTCCAAATAATTATGATTACTTTGACTTTTTTGGGTTGCAAGGAAAGCCACCTTCGTACAAAGCAGCCTGTCACAGAGGGTAACAAAATAACAATGCGAGATCTTTGAATTTTGCTGTTTACTTTTAATTTCTAGGAAGAGGTCTGTGTTCTGCCTTATTTAGTGGCAAAATGTATTTACAAGCTGATGATAACAGTCTTGCAGTGACTTTTGTTTAAAGATATTTTTATGCTATTTCCTGTTTCATAGCTAACTTTCATGCACACACAGAAATGTTGAGGCTGGGATTCAAATAATCTTACACTTAGTTCTTTGCATGAAGGGGAATGTTTAGCGTGTGTTTCTTATATTGCAGCCCTCCTATCCTGTCTTCCATAAAACTGCATTCTTTAAGTTAAAGGCAGGGGTCCCTAACGTGCCCGCTGACACCTTTCCTGCCACCTACCAAGTGTTTCTAGAAAGTGGGTGGGACCAGGTGGGGTTTTGCTCCAACAGAGCTTCTGATTAGGCACTGGAGATCTGACTGGGGGTGCTGATTAAAAGGTATCCTGAAGAGTTGTAACCTCACTCCCTGCCATTTTGTAGTTAGTTTTGCCTCCTGCAGCAGCCATTTAGTGTTTGTGCCCACCAGCCCATGTCAGAATTCCAAAGGTGCCTACAAGCTCAAAAAAGTATACTTGAGCATTCTTTCAAGGGCTGGGGGGGGGGGTGTTGAAGGGGGGGAAAGTCAAGCATTCCACTGGATAGGTCAAAGTTTTGGGGCATACCTAAAGTCTCCCAGTCTATGTACACTGTTTTGTTTTTACATTATACGAGGCCTTAGCCAGGGAACTGGAATTGGTCACAGTGGCCTCCATATATACACGTCATGGATAGTATATTTGTCATTATGCAATATGCGAAATAGCCTTAATTTATGTTTATTGTACCTTGCTTCTAAACTCTCTTCCCTAAGAACGAATTTACTTCCTGTGTTACCTCTTTTTGTTTAACAAAAACAGCTGTGCTTCTGGAGTTCTACCCTTTTGGACTGACACATGCAAATTTGGGTAAAATACATGATGCATTTACTCTGGGTTATTTTTGTAACAGCATTTACATTGGTGAGCAAACTACCAGTGTGGTCTGTGCAATGTGCATTGACTGAGACCTCTGTTATAGCTGATTATCTTAACTGAGATCTCTGATATAGCTTATCTCCTTTTAAAGGTGTGATTTTTAAAATTTGTACAGATGGCATGGAAGAAAAGGTGCACTACATAGAACAACAGCTCTGTGCTTTCACTGTATGTTACGTTTGCAACATTCTCTTTTGCAGCTTATAATATATTTCCACGTGGCTTCTATTCTCAAACAGGTTGCCGTTTCTGAAATGGTCAGCCCATGACCATAGTCATAAATTGTTCCAAACACCGTTTTTTCAGACAGCCTGTTTTCACAGCACGGAATAGGCAGTGGTTACTAGTATAGCTAAGCTCGTTAAAATAGCATATGGTGGTTCTGCAATTTTCTTGCCCTCTAAGCTGCTGAATAAAAATTCCCTGAAAGTGACTCCATTCGGATGGTGAGTGCTGCATGGAACGTTATCATAGGTACCAGTTAAGTAGTGCTGTAACATCATTAGTGACCTGTGACTTCTTCTTAATCCCAGCACTATCTTGTTCACATTTTAAGAAATACTTAAAATATAGGCCATTCCCACTCTTCATTACTGCCTAAAAGGAGTTCTTGGCTAGCTTTTTAAAATGGTTGCAAGTAGCAAATACCCAGAGGTATCTCTTCATAGAACCCATTTCCCCTTTTCTTTGGTTTCTTTGATTTGTGCTTTCTCACCTATCCAGCTTTACAATGCACACAATTTCAGGGGAGAAGGGAAGAAGAAAAACTGTGTATGTGTGGAATAGTTCTGTGCCTGATAGGGCAGCATGGTTACTCTCTCCCTCACATGTTTTTTACATGCATATGGGAGCTGCTGGTGCTGGAGTAAGATGAATTGTCTTGAAAGACCTTTATGTACAGCAGGGGAAGCACCAACAGCATATTGCTCTACAAGGATTTTTCTTTCGATACTTGGCTGCTAGTCTGAACTTCTCTCTTGTTGTCTGAACATAGTCTTGTGTATTAACTACTTCCATTTCAATGCTGTTGATAATTTCGCCTTGTTCTTCTACCAAAAGTGAGATTTGGATAAATAAGTCCTTTAAATCTTTCACCTGGTTCTCAAGATTGATCAGTTCTTTGTGTCTTTGTTCAATCTCAGATAACTGAGTTTTAGTGATCTTAACCTCGGTAAGCAGGTTTTCATTGAAAATTTCCCATTTTCCTTGGCAAATCATATCGTTAACTTCTTCCTCGGAGACCTCTTTTCCAGCCACTTCAAGCTGACGCACGATAAAGGTCTTGCATTTTTCTTGCTTGGCTGTTATAGCATCATTGTACAAAAACATGATATTTTGGAAACGGCGGAATAGGACAGCTCGCTGAGAGCTAAGGACCCTTATAACAGCAGATGATGAACTGTGTACTTTTTCTACCTTTTTCACAGTTTTTGACAAGTCATCCAAGCATTTGCTAATGTGCTCTGCTTGAATTTTTATCTCTTTTGTAACATTGCATTCCTTTTTAAGAATGCTGAATCTTCGCATGGAAGCTACCAGGCTCTTCTGTTGCTGACTAAACTGTTGAACATTGTCTGCCAAATTGTTGATATCATTGTGAAGTTTCTGGATTTCATTTAGATACCTTTCTGTTACAGGCTCCCTTTCAAAAATAACAGCTGCTTGTTCAAACTCTGCTTGTTCCTCTGACACAACCCTAGGAACGTGGCTGTTTTCTTCCAATAATTGCAGTTCCTTTGCTCGCAGTTTAAGTTCTTGAAGGCGGTCTTTCATCTTCTGAAGAATCTACTAGGTACTTCTGTCATATATCCAGGTAGTGATGTGACCCTGGGGATTAAAAACCACTTTAACTATCAGTTATGTACTCATAGACATGTTACATAGATGATGGGAAACTTGTATGTCTATAGAGAGGAAGTCAGAAGAATGCAGCAGCCCTAAGCTAAGTAAATGCACTGCACATGGCAGCAATTTTGTTTCTTAGACTCACTATGTAAAATCATTGGTCTACCAGTTGCAGGGAAAAACACATACTGACCCACAGAAATAGTGATCTCATAAGAGACGTCATAGTCTGATACATAGATCATTTTGCAGTCTTGTATGCTCCCTCTGCCTCTTCTGTCTCTGTTTGAAATTCCTTCTTTTTTGGAATTAACAAAGCTCTCATATAGATATAACGATGCTTAACACTTGAAAATTATAGTTGAGGAACTCAGGATCTGTATTTAAAATCCCTATATATTATGCAAGTGATGAAACTTATGCAGAATTTACCAACCCTTTTTAGTTCTTCCTTGAAAAATTCATTATACTGTGGCATGATTTTCCACAGTTCTTCATAATAGAACTATTAACAATAGTAATGTTGAATAGATACATAATTCCAATGTACTTAGCATTTCATAAGTGTTATTCGGCCATCATATTTCAATGCCAATGGTTGGAAAATTGCACTTCACAAGAAAAAATGTGATGTGAATCAATATTCTGATAAGTTTTTGGCATTGCAAAATTGTAGACTCTCATAACAGAAAATGTAGTTAAAGATAAGTCTTTAGTAATGTTATGAAACCGCTTCCCTCCAGTAAGTATTCTGAGGAAATTCAGGTTGGAGCACATGAAAATAATCAGTAGTACTGATTCATGATGGCAGTGATATGAAAAATCTCTTGTGGCCGATCTTGTCAGGTCTCGGAAGATAGTACTTAGATGGGAGACCTCCTTGGAATACCAGCACTCTGGAGATGGGGGCAGACTTTATTCAGCCACCTCTCTGAATATCCTGCAGGCCCCTAGTAGGGGTCAGTCACCAGAGGTTGTCATGACTTCCAGGTGCACACACACTCATACAGACGCATGCACACATGAAAAATGAAAAAAAAATCTCTTGTGGCACCGTCTAACACATTTATTAACATCAGGAATTCAGTATGTCTAACAGATCTGTAATTAAAGTAGAAATCAGCAGTGTTTTCAGCCAGTGTCAGAAAGATTATCTTGGATTACAATAAATTCCAGTATTGGGGAAATCAGCAATTTTGTAGTTGAAACCTTTTTAGTTACTAGTATTGCATGTAATCATTGCACTAGGAACCTGTATAATAACTGGAAAAGAAATAAGGTCTCTGATTCTCCCTCCCAACTGCTGCAATAATTCTCATAATTTTATTAGCCTTTTACTTTCCCCCCGAAAGTTAAAGTTGTGTTCCTAAGGGTTATGATTAATTTCAAATGGGTTCCTGTGTTAAGTCAGCTGCAACAAAAACAGACAGGAGTCTTGTGCTATGGAAAGTTCTAGTAGAAGTTTTTGTGAACAAAAAAGAGGGCACCAGTCCGTGGTGGTGGTGGTGGTGGTGGTGGGGAATACTGTTTAAGGTTGCACAAGACTTATGTTTGTTAAGGTTTGAGATTCTTTTTCCTGGAAATGCAGCTTTCCCCTTAAATTGCCCCTGCCACTTTACACTGGCAAACAAGTATAAGCTACCCCTTATCAATCATGTTAAAGTCTACTTCTGGTAAAATATACCGTTGGATGCTGGATTGGAGTAGCACCCCAAAAAATCACCTAGAAAAGCCCTTGTGTACAATTTTATTATTATTGATGTATGACCTCAATGATACTGGGTGGAGATCACTGAGGTAACACTCCCAGAGAAAGGCAATGTGATTCAGACAGAGGAGGAGTTCACAATGCAGCATTGCTCATAGGGAAGCAAGAGCTGAATTTGTCGATGTATAGTGATGGACTTGAATAAAAAGCATCATAAATGTGTATGTTGTTCTGAAAACGACATGATGATCTGATGCCTTTGGTGAAGAAATTTTTGAATATGGTTTCTTTAATCTCATTCTAGAGGCTGATAAAAATGCTTTTACTGCCCTGATTTTAGATGTGTACTAGATACTAGAGAGTTAGTGTCTTACTTGTAAGGATTGCTACTTCAGATGGGAACATTCACCATGGTACCATTGAGGTAGCACTATATTCTAGGCTTCAAGTGTACTTGTAAGCAGTGTAACTGCAACCTGTAATGTAAGTTGGGTAATATTATCATTTGTCTGTTCTGTAATCAGGTAGAGAACAGAAAGTTTATAAATCGCTCCAAGCCTATTGGACATAGCTGTTTTCTGCAAGTTTTAGCTGCTATTGCAAAGTAGGTTTCATGTACAAGTTTCAGGCAACAAGCATAAAATACTCCCCCCCCCCCCGAAAGCTGAATGCCTTGAACTAGTTCTGGGATTAACATATTTCAGCGTTCTTTCTGGAGTAGTCCTTTTGACAAGACTTTGGATTGCTTTTTTAAAAAATGTATTCAAGAGTATTAACTGTCTATGTAGAAAGTAAATATTTCTAACTAGACATAGATTCATTTCATGATGAATCTGGTTTGGCACGTGAGATTAAACATACTTACATTTTTAAATAGAAGGCTGTTACAGTCCATATACTAACGTGCCCTGCTTCAGATCAGTGCATGACAAACTTTGCCAGAGTGAAATAACATAGTGTACAGGGCACAGAGAAGAGCCTTCTGCAGTGAGCACTAGAAGCCTCATTTGAGGAGGTAGGGGAAAGGCAGGCAGTCTCAGTGTAAGAACGAGGACAGTACAAGTATATGAATGTGTCCCTATTTCTTCTAAGGTACTGAGGCCTGGTTTATTACTGGTTGGATTTTAGCAGCTTTTCCACTTGCTTGCCCAATTTTCCTTCCTCACGGCAGCATGTGTAGGTAGCTTCTGTCTATGTGGATCCCATGATCTCGGGTATATATGTTTTGGTGGTCAAAAGCAGTGTTTCCCCTACACTGTGCATATGAGTGGTCACTCATTTATACAGGAAGCTCCACTCAGCAGCAGTCTGGAGCTGCACAGGGCCTTGCACTGCTCATTGACCATTTTAAGATTACAGCAGCTGTATTGTGCTCAGGATGTGAACTGCTTTGTTCAGTAGGGGGAAAAAATTAGAGGAAACATTGGTCAAAAGGGGCCCCTTCTTACTCTTTCACCAGTAGAAATGCTAGTGGATCCAGCCCAAAGTAGTATATGAGGGTCTCTACAGTCTGGGTCTCAAAATCGGTTGACCCTCCCTGGCCCGAGGGAGGCCAAGCTAGCTATTACCAGGGCCGGAGCCTTTTCAGTGGCGACCCCTACCTGGTGGAACGAGCTCCCGTAGGAGATCAGGGCCCTGCGGGACCTTTTGCAGTTCCGCAGGGCCTGCAAGACGGAGCTCTTCCGCCACGTATTTAATTAGGGGCCACCGCTACTGCAGGCCACTACTGCAGAGCTCTGGTCTGTGGTTTCAACATCCAGCTGATTATGAGCAGAAACATCATGGAATATCTGGGCAGTGGAAATTTACTCTGACAAGATACCATCTAGGTTAATTTTAACTGCCGCCAGCACTTTGTATTTATATTGGTTTTATCTGTGTGGTTAAATATTTGTGTAATTTTAATGTATTTATGTTTCTATGGAAGCTGCTCTGAGCCCGCTTTGTGGGGAGGGCGGGGTATAAATCTGAAAATAAATAAATAAATAGATTTTAAAATCCACTTACATATTATATATTTATAAGTAAAGGGTGGTATCTGTGGGCTTTATTGAGAGTTTCAGGGTGCAAATTGTAGAGATCCAAGAGAATTTAACCTTTGCTTGGAATGTTTTAATATAACATTACATTTCCAATTTAACCTTTGCTTCTACCACCTTTGCAATATTAAAATTGCACAGTGGATTCTAATTTCATAGTTTTAAAACCCTGTCCTATGGAACCAAATATGTATCATGAACATGTGCCAGTTCTTTGATGAACAGACAGTTCATGGCAGGCATGGGCATTCCTTGAGAGATTAATGTAGAAGGGGCTTGGAAAAATTAGAAAGTTTGAAAGCTTTATAGCTTGAGAATCGATCACAGTAGAAATTACTTTGATCAGGGTTTGTTTTTTAATTGTCCTGGATGAAATAGATACTAAAACATTACAAAACTAATGTTTTTTTAAATTCTTCATGTGATTTGTTGTTGGTGTCTGGCTCACAGGTGGCTCAACTGTCCTGAACGAGGGCAAGAGCTTTTTCTAGAGTGGCCCCTGCCTGGTGAAACTCTCTGTCAGATGGACATCCAGTCCCTGTGGGATCTTTCTAAACCCCATAGGGGCCTGTAGGACAGAGTTGTTCTGCCAGGCTTTCTGTTGAGGCCAGTTTTCTACCCCGTATTACAAGTGCCCCCCGTTCTCTGACAGCAGTCTGGGTTGTTGGTTGTTGAGTGCCAAATGATCATGATTTATTCTGATGCTTGAGCTAGGGTGCTATTCTATAGATTGTAAATTAATGTTTTTGTAAGTATGTTTTATCTTTATTTATAGATTATTTTATTGAATTATGTGAGCTGCCTAGAGCCCTGTGACCCAGTGGAGGGAAGGGTTATAAGTCTAAAAAATAAATAAAACAAAAATATATTTAAATCTGTTATTTCAAAGTCCAGGTGAAAATCATGCAAATACTGTGTTAATTTTGCTAGTCATAGCTACTTGTAGCTTAAGTTTTTTTAAAAAAGCTGTCTTGTTGCATGGGTCAACCAATGCCAAGCACTTAAGTGGCCTTGAAAACAGCACCCAGCAATTTAATTGTAGCACCTAGTATTTTCGATAGTGGTATAGCTGTAGTATATCTTGGCATTTCTCAGTGGAAGTACAAAGCTTGTTTATCATTTCATATCACAAAAAAGTGCATGTGCATGGTTTTCTTGTCACTGTTTATATGTTTATACCATTCAGTGATGGTAAGATGGTAAGATGAATCCATTTCTCAACCGTTGCTTTCTGTACTGGGTCCAATATTCAAGTAAATGCAGTTTTTTAAAAGCTTACAAAATCCTTTCCCTTCCCCTCCCCACAACTGACATCCTGTGAGGTAGGTGGGGCTGAGAGAGCTCTTTTCAGAACTGTCCTTGAGAGAACAGCCCTGAGAGAACTATGGCTTGCCCAAGGTCATCCAGCAGCTGCAAGTGGAGGAGTGGGGAATCAAACCTGGTTCTCCCAGATTAGTGTCCATACACTTAACCACTACACCAAACTGGCTCTCCCACCCAGCAAACAGTGGGTGGGGGAAAACTCCATGCAGCAAGGAGGAAGTCTCTTTTCCTTTGGTGCTGGATCCATGAGAGCATACAGAACTCTTAACTGACTTTGTGCTCACCTGAAGAGCTACAGAAAGCTTCAAGGTAGCTCTGTAGAGATTTGTAACATAGCTTAAGGAGCCTGTCCCATTTTAACATCTGATAGGGCTCGTATAGAGAGAGGGACAGAGGATTTGCACTTTACCCATTTCTTTTGGATCCCATTTCTTTTTGTGCTGTGCTAAAAGTATGCTTGTGAACGTTTTCTTTTTAATAAATACTTTATAACTTTTGATACTGGTAGTGGTAATTTCACAGAATGAAATTAGAAGGTATTAATGGGGATAAATTAGGTTAGGTTTTAAAAAAAATTATTATGACCATCAGGATTACCCCCATTTTATTTATATACTACAACAGTTGTCATAGTATGAATAAGATTATGAGAAACTGTGAAGGATTTAGGAATTTGTGGTAGCAATAATAGCCCAAATTTGAAAAGCAGGCATGTCCTAGTTTAGACTTGTATTTAAAAGTCTTTTGGATTCTTTTGTATTTAAGTAAACATGACCTTTGACTGAACAAGTTTCCATATGCAGCAATAATATTTTTTCATAAATGCGAGCTTGTCATGTCATTTTAACTGTACACAGACACTCCCTGTCTCATGACGTCTGCAATAAAGTTCTAAAGCTCTTTAACTATAATAAAATTCCCTGATGCACTGTATATCCTACTTCTGTTCTCCGTTTTTTTCCCTATTTCAACATTATTTTAAACTCTAAATGGGGAATTCTCAAACAAATGACAAAAGAATACAACAACAAAAATAAAACAAGAGTCCCTTGCTCATACAGTGCTTAACTTGGCACTGTTAACTTTACAAGCCAAGTAAATCGCTATCCTGGAATATCGCTTCAAGCATTTTTATTATTTAAGACTGCCTCAGTTGGTATTAAGATGAGAATTTTGTGCAAAGAAAGGTTCCTGTTGACTTGGAAAATTAAAAGTGAGTTCTTGTCTTTAAGCTACTCCTGGCACACTTCCAAAAGAAACAACTTTGGTGCATGAAACGTGTTTAGCACATTAGTATTCCTGTTCCCAGGCAGTAAATCTCTGAAAACATAACTATCGGAAACACTTTCAGATTTTATGTAGGGCAAGCACCCACTGTTTTAAAGATACTTTGACACTTGAGGCTTTTAAATTATACAGTGTACTGTTTCGTATTCTTTGAGGAACAATAAAAGCAAACTACTTACCTTTAAAATCCTGAGTTGATGGAAGCCTCTTGTACTTCTGTCTTAAGATCTGGTGCTGTAAAGTCATTTGCCATATCCTTGAGAGCACAAATAATAGGGCAGGAGTATGATTTCCATTAAAGAGTTTCTGCTTGCTTAATCCTTGTAGACCTCAATCACCTGGAAAGTGCATCTTGGAAGGCTGTACTGTGTGAGAGTAAGACTGGTTGCAAGGTACAGTGAATTGGTTACTTTATGCTTGGGGAATCTGGTTCTGCCTGTTGGAGACCCCACCTTGATTTGAGGCGGGCCATTCTATTCTAATTAGCCAACACCAGGAAGTATTTCTGCTGGTTGACTTGAAATGCAAATACATGTTGTTGTACAGAACTCTGTTCTTTTTTTAAAAAAAATCCTTGAACATTAGATGTTTGAAACAAAGATATGTTGTGGTGTATTAGAAGAAATCACAGGTAATGAGGAAGAAAGGAGATACTTGCAAATGATTGTACAAGCAAAGTACTTCTCTGCATACATAGGGAAGTAGCAGTGGCTACTTGTACCTGCCTCTTCTTCAGGATTGTTCAGTGGAAGAGAAAATGACTATGAAATAAAATTTAGATTCCAAATT